CCCGATGTGAAGGACCAGCCTACATACACCTAGATGTGGCCCAGAGCAGGTAGGAGCACAGGACTGGGTGGCAGACTTGGCTTCCATTCCCAGCTTTCTGTACCCACTGGTCCAGTAACTCTGGAGCAACCCTAAGCCTCAGTTTTCTTGCCTATAAAATGGGAGATAATTGTATCTATCTCATAGAATTTGATATAGGCTAATGCATAAAAAAAATCACTAATCCAAGGTCCTGGCACATAGCTAAAGCTCAACAAATGCTATTAAAAAAAAAAAAAAAAAAAAAAAAAAAAAAAAAAAGCTATTACCACTGGAAAAAGTCAGTCCACACGAATTTTGAGAGTTCTGAATATTCAGAACAGGGCATCATCTGTGCATCTAATTCAAAATTGAGACGTGCATTAAAGAGACAGCACCTTGTAAGTATCTCATGATGGGCAATGCTAGATTTAGATTCTGGTGTAGTGGTGGAGAAGGCTGGGTGCTGGCTCCCAGACTGAAGCTGAGGACCTTGGGAGGAAGTTGTAGGGATCCATGTCAAATGGACCCAGGTGATAGGGTCATGACCCCCAACCCCAGCCCAGAGAAACTCAGGGCTGCCTCTAAGGTTCTGAAGTGTCTCAGACCAGGGAGCAACTGGTTTTCTATCTCTCTTGGGAAGAGCACAAGCAGGTCTGAACTGCTACAGCAAGGGAAGCTCTTAGGAAAAATAACTTCCCCAAACCAGTTGCAGCCAGGGCCCCTCCCTCCCTCCTGGAAGGACTCTCAGAGTCAAGAGGTCCCCTCTGTCTTCACAAGGGAACCATGCTTCTTGGGGGCAGTGATGCTGAGGAGGGCACCAAGTGGCTTCAGGTAGCTATGCCCTGGGTTTCTTAAATCAGGAAAGTCCTCGGAAATGGGGCTAGTACGTCTAAGCCCAGTGGGGCTTGGGCATTTTGGGGGAGACTCAATGAAGAAAAATCGGGGGGAGGCAGAATGGGGGAGACAAAGAGGAATAGCCCCCAGGGGAAATGGCCTGTGGAGCTGAGGAGTAGGAAGAGGAGCTTACGTGTGCCTGGGCTTCAGCCTCTGGTCCCCATAGGGGATGAGGGCCACCAGCTGCTTCTCTAGCTCTGTAAAGAAGTGAGAGGGAGGAACAAGAAGTGTCCATGACAAATGTTTCCTGTGCCAGCCTGCCAGAAATACCCCTCCACCCGACAGAGCAATGTCAAGAGAATGCTGCCTCTGTCCCAGAGCAGGNGAGAAAGAAGTGAGAGGGAGGAACAAGAAGTGTCCATGACAAATGTTTCCTGTGCCAGCCTGCCAGAAATACCCCTCCACCCGACAGAGCAATGTCAAGAGAATGCTGCCTCTGTCCCAGAGCAGGACTGGGAGCACTGGGCTACACTGCCAAAGTTGGCAGCTCAGTTTTGCCATCTCTAGAATGAAAGTGAGATTTTCATAAATAGATGTGAAGAATCTCTGGCATTTCTTCATCAGAGCCTAGCTTCTTCGGAGAAATCATTTGTAACTTCCTGAATCCTAAGGCACACTGTTGCTAAGGGAGCAGAGAGGCTGGAAATGCCCAAGGCTGGGGAGTACAACCGGGACAGGAGGGGTTAGCATCTCCCTGGCCAGCCTTAAACTGGGGGACCAAGAGCTGGGAGACCCAATCCCATTCAAGGAGTCTCAGAGGCGCCTGGCCGGGGGCCAGCTGACCAATAAGAGCTTTTCCTGAATTCAGGCTATTTCCAGAGCTTTGGTCCACTCACCTCGAGGGATCTCCCCACTGCCCTGGCAGGTGGGACAAGTTACAAAGCTGGCACCAGCAGCCCTTTCACAAGGCGCATGGGAAGAAAAAAACGTGCTGCTACCGTTGCTGGCGTATCTGGCAGCCTTGCTGCCAACGGCTGGGTCATGGGGAAGGATGGGCTGGTTTTCACCCTTCTGAGAGTCCAGCTGGGAGAACGTCTCACCCATCGTCCACGGGGCGTTTTCACTAATGAGAAAATAACCAGGTTCAGTGCTAGCTTGTTTTCAGGTTTTAGGTTCTCAAGATTGGCAAGGAGTCCCACCACAATTTCAGCCAGTTCAAGCCTAAACGAGCTAGGGTATGGAAAATCGAGCAGTTACACTGGAGTCGGGTCAGAAATCTCAATGCATTTCAATTCCTTTCATTATTGTAGATGAGCTCAATCTGCCTACAGGAGGGAAAAGAAAAGCAGAAGTTATTTCACTTTAAGGGACTTCCATAAGTGAATAGCAGAGCACTTATTTTTTCCTGTGAAAGTTGCTGAGCAGTCATTCACTTCAGGGGAAGTAAGTTGGATAGGGCAGGGGACAGCAGTCAGTAGAGTCCCTTCTTCCTATGCAGCAAGATGACTCTGAAGAGGTCTCCAGAGCACCCTGGCAGAAATGCCTGAGGTCACCCAGCCTGGGTGTGGGAGGGAAACTTCCATTCCTGAGCCTGGGCAGGCGCAGGCTTTAATAGGAAGGCAAGGATTCTCTGAAACAAGAGAAAGGATGCTAGACTGGTCCCAGGTGAGGCTAAGAACCTACAACAATCCTGGAAGGAAGAATAAACCTCCTCCGCACTACTGAGGTGGGGTAGGAAAGAATCCCTGGGGGCGGGCAGCAGCAAAGTCAGCATCTGTCCTTCACTAGGAAAGGCCAAGGCTAAACCCAGGGTCTTCCCCCCAACCTCAAGAGTGGTGGCAGAGTGAGCGGGTAAAGTGAGCCGCACTCAGACCTTCCTGGGCTAAAGTAAAGGGAGCCTCACCTGGCTCACGTCTGGGATCCAGGGCTCCTCTGAGCTGCAAAAACAGATTTGGGATTGCGTCTGTGAGGAACAGGGCCTGCAGGGCGGGGCCGTCCGAGGAGCCACGGCTGGGGCCCCGCTAGGGTAACCGGGCCCCCTCAACAGACCTGGGGGACCCAGTGCACCGCGTTGGAGGGAGTGGGAAGCGACGGCCCTGGCCTCCCCGGAGGGCAAGCTGCTTCCCGCACTACTCTGGGGCGGGCCGTAGGCCTGGGTTGGGGTAAGGGGGAGGGTGGCGGGTAGGAGCAGACGGAGAGGCTGGAATTCCACTGAGGGGGATTTCACGTCCCAGCAGACACCCAGAGAGGCCGTTAGTCGAGTCTGGTAGCCGCGTGTGCCTGTGTTGGGCTGGGAGGCACGGAAGGTGCCGTGGCCCTTACCTCCCAGAGAAAGGGCCCCATGAGCGCCTTACCCCCGGGCTACACAGCGACAGAAACGGCTGCAAGCGGAATCGAAAGTGCGGGAGCTAGGGGCTTGCCTCAAGCTTTGACTGGGGGCCTTGGGGAG